TATATATATATATATTATTTCTTGAAAATTTTATTTTCAGTTTCTGTAGGAAGGGGTGGCAGGGGACGTGCTCGATACAGATGGTACGTTCAACGAGTAGGCCTTATGAGATATCCTTACCCTATCCTGAGACAAACCGGGATATAAGGGGCCGGCAAGGAATTATGAGGGGCCGTGCTGTGGAAGAGAGAGACCGTAGAGGAAGAAGAGCAGAAAGCCTTTGTTCCCGGTACGGTACAACAAACTTTTAAGGATATATTGTATCAATTTTAAAACCATTGAAAAAAACCATGAAAAATTAAAGATTGCATGTTTTACATTACATTTGAAAGTAGTAGGAAAAAATTTAGCGATGATTTTCTATGTGGCTAAAAAATTAATTCAATGAAAAGTAGATATGTGCTCTAATGAAAATATTAAGAAATAGTAAAAAAATATGAATTTGTAAGTATTTTAAATATATTGAAGATGATTAATAATATAACATACAATTTCATTGCGATGCAGAGATTAGGTGCTGTTTAAATAAACAAAATTGCTTTATTTATTTATTTATTTATTTACAGAATAACTGAAGACGATTGCAATAAGAATAAAGACGATTACAATAAAACTTGATATAAATCATCTGAAACATTTAAGTATTTATACAAAAAAATTGAGATTTCTCTTAATATTGTAAAAAAAAACTTTATTTTTAATAACAAACAGATAATATAAACTATAAAAATATATTGTTAAATAAAAATATAATTTTACTCACACAATTTTCATATGTAAAGGGTGGGCCATCTATTGGTACGTTTTTGAATAATTGGGGTGACCGAATGGCATACTGTAAGGCCAGTAGAGGGAGCCACATGAACGAAATCGTTTTTCATTCTTGACGCGGATACTTTTAGCTTCACAACAAAAAAAAAATTAATAAAAAATATCAATGTATGCTCATTTGATCGCATTTTTAAACGTACCAATAGATGGCCCACCCTATATATAATTCATTTGAAGTGTAAATATCAAAACCATTTACAAATTAAATTAACTTTGCAGGAATACGTCCAAAAGAGAAGAAGAAAGAGCAGAGACAGACCAGAGAGAAGGGCGATATATTATTAATAACTTTTATAATAATTATTATTATGATTGAAAAATATAAACATATGTTTAAAAAATATAATGCATATTAATTTCATAGTTCCTTTTATTCATTCAGCATTACTTTTAGTTTAACGATAAAATACGAGAAAATACACAATACAAATTTTTGCATAAAATTACTTTTCGACATGTTTTATGCTTTGTGGATTAATGGGAAGGGTTTACTGTAACTACAATTTATTAAAAATTATATGTTATCTATTAATGTTCTCTTGCCTTGACAGTCTCGACACACGTTCGAGCGGCCGAGAAAACATTTTCAATCATTTCACACTCCAGTGAAACACTATCTCGTTTGCTCTTAGCACGCCCGACTGTCTCGTTCGCTCTTAACACGCCCGAACGCCCGCCGAAGCTGGCCGAAGCGCGAAAGCGTCGAACCGCGCATAGACTCATGACATAGACTCATGATTGTGTGTATCCAGCGATCGCGCTAGGCCGCCGACTGATGGCGTTAATCGCGATGTCGTAAACCGTCCCTGGATTGACATCCTTGGCTGGCACTGATAACATCGCAGCCAATACGTTGGCAAGATTCAGATAGCCGCAGGCTTTAGTATAGTATGTTACGTTACAGTATAATTATTATAATTTAAAGCATGCGCAGAGAAAACGAATGTTCCATGTATACAGCTGTCTTTCTTACACGCATCTTTTTGTATATCTTTCTTCCACGCATCTTGAACACAATTCTGAATCACAATGTTCCCTCAATGTTTATATACTTTAAGGTTAGAAAGAAGTTCATAACATTAAAGAAAAAAGAGATTAAGATGAGGAATTGCCTCATATAGTTACTCCAGATATAGGGCTCCAAATGGTGACTTTCGGTTAATTGGCATCAGGCCGGTGTCCCATGGATCTGAAATTTATAGCGAAACGGAACAGCGCGACCACAACTCTACCATTACTTTACTTTTTTTTCTGCGATTGTGATTGGATTTGCTGTTCCGTTCCGCTGTAAATTTCCGCTCATGGGACGCCAGCCTTAAGCTATTTTCACATGCAGCGCAACTTGCATAAGCGTAACTTACGTCAACCAATCAAATCGTATCAAATTGTATCAGCTACTACGCATTATTTTAATTGAGACGATTTGATTGGGTCTGAGCACAAAAATTGTCGTAACACTTACTTAGACTTAAATTGTAGACGTAAGTAACACACAAGCTTTCACGTATGACATACAACTTATTGTCATGTCTCCAAGAGACAACAATAAATTATATGTCATACGCCAAAGCTTGTGTGTTACTTACGTCTAGAACTTAAATCACTAAGTAAGTGTTACGACAATTCTTATGCCTATTGGCTGACGCAAGTAACGTTTACGCAAGTTACGCTGCATGTGAAAGCTGTCGCACTCTCTTTATATTCACTCTAGTACTAGCTATAACTTTCTATTAAATTATTTTAATTTCAGCAATGTATTAAAAGAATGATGTGTACGAAATTGGTACAGTATACATCATAATGATTAATTAAATATAAATATCATGTATATGTTTCAATATATCGCTGAAATTAAAAATATTCACTAGAAAGTTACTAGTTAGTACCCGTATCAAGTGCACAATGTAAACTAAAGCTGATATAAACTAGAGTATAAACTAGAGTCCTATTTATCAGATATATTTATCAGAGATGCGCAAATGGGATTCGCTTGCTGATTAGTTTGTTTATTGGTCATTTTAGGTTTGTTCATGTCGCATGCTCCAACATGCCGCTTCAACAACGAGCTCCAATAGCACGTTCGCGTCACCAGAATAATATGGCGACTAGATGTTCATGTCGCATTAAAGCATACTTCATGGATCAATTAAGAGTACGCTTCATTTGCCTCATTTCGGAAAATGATGCGGTTGGGGCATGTTACGCACACATGTATTTAATGATTGAAAGCGTACTGTATTGAAAAAGTATTTGTGATTTATTTATTTGATATAAAAACGTATTTAATAAATATAAAAATATAACATAATATAATATTAATAAAATAAAATAATAAAAATAAAATAATATCAATATAATAAAATTAATATAATATGATATAATATAACTTTCATATTTATTCATTAAAAACGCATTTAATTTATATAAAAACGCTTTTCAAATAATCGAGGTAACAAAACATCCGAAACGAAACGACCAAACATGTCCGACCAAATCTTTTATTTGACGAGTCATTCAGATTGAGAAGAAGGAGAGGTATAGTAAGTGGCAAGTGGATTGCAGTGGAATTATATATTTTTTAATGAAATAAAAACGTGAATTTCTTGTGTAGTCATTATAACTTAACCTTATATTTGTTTTTTGACATATTAGAGCTACAATGCCTGGGTGTATAGCAGGTTACTGCACAAACTGCCAAATAAGGTAAATGTCGTTTTTCACGAGACCCAAAAAGAAGAAAAATTTGGGTTAAAAATACAGGACGACTGGATTCGGTCTGAATTCAATCTAATTCGGTGTTATATGAGGTTAGTATAAACTTTTCATGATTTTTTAATATAAATAAATTATTAAACGATGTATATTATTTTAGGTATATTATGTTGCCACGAATGTATTGCTGCCACGAGATCAAAGACACACCAAGCACGCATACCTTTGATGCATTTACACGCATTAAATGTTTCACACAAGAGACATTATTTTATGTCAATTCTTCAACGTTTCAAGTTTTTTAAAAGTATGGAATCAGTAATTAAACAAAATTTGGAAGTTTTTTCAATTCAAGACAATATCACAAAATTTTTATGTGAGAGATTCCAAGACCTTCCGTATTTGCTGTCAAATTGTTACAATCTCAAAAATAAAATAATTAAAAAAATGTTGCACATTTTGTTTGAAAACGCTTTGTGCGCTAATTTACAATAACAGATCTATAATAACAGATTTACAATAACTTAAAAAATGTTATTAGAGTTTATTTTCAATTTTTTTGTTTATTTATTATTTTAAATTATTTTTTGTTTATTCATTTTTAATTATTTTTTGTTTATCATTTTAAATTATTAACTTGTATTAATATTTGCTTATTACATAATAATATAATTCCAATAATATTTATTGGACTTAACTATTAATTATGTTAATTTGCGTTAATATTTGTATTTTATTTGACATGTATGCATGTGTCACTTGTTTTTATTTGTCATATAACTGTAATTTTTATTTTGATTT